CCTTTGTGACTTGCAAGCCAATTTAATTTGTGACATTTGCCTAGACAATTTTCTCCGTAAGAATTTCGAACTTACTTGTCTCCAACTGGAAGTCCCTCGGCCCATTCTTCTCAATATTTTTTCCGCTGTGTGTGGGCCTGGGGCCTGAGATCTGGTCGCCCGTAGGAACTTGCGTCTACAAGAAACAATTAAACTCAACATGCATTTATGTCAAGTTATTCGCGCTGCTCCGGCAATTAGAGAGCAAACCAACTCCAAGTGGGCAAAACGGCAACGCATGATCACTGGGCAGTAAATTAACCCGCACTTCCATATGGTGGTTACATTCGTAGTGCGACAGCTGCAGTTGTAAATTTGATTTTTACGGCTAGAAACATGTGGCCAATTGGCAGCAACTGGCCGGGCCAGTTCCAAAAAGCGACAAAAAAAGAGCGGCGAAAAATCAGTTTTCCGATATCTGTCACCAGTCATTGAAAAGGAAACCTTGCCGACTTTTGAGGTGTTAATTTGGCCACATGCCGAAAGCCTTGGCCATAAATTCACTTCGTGTTCATGTCGCGTGCAATTAGCCGGTCCAAAATCTTTCGTTGCCAATTCTAGATCAATAACTGTTGTTGGAGAATGTTTGGAATGGATTCTTGTATTCTAGCTGGAACAAATTTGGAAATAGTTTCATCAACAGTTTACAAATTATAAAATCAGTATATTATTTATGCAGACATAACTAGAAAAAGTTTTGAGAATTTTCTCTTTTGAATATTAATCAACAGCAACACGTAATAGTGGGCAAACTTTGATTGGTCAGCCGCATATTAATTACTTGGGAGCAACAGAAGGCAAAATAAAGAAATAACCAATTTCAATTTCAAAATTCGGTACTGTTGTCTGGGCATAAAACTCAGACTGAGTTCCAGTCTCAGTCTGAATCCCAGTCGCAGTCTGTCTTGTCCAGAAAGCCAATCGTGACAATCATGACAAAATCGAACGGATGTTTGAAACCAAAAAATGCAAAACGTATTTTTTTAAGCCTTTGTTTGCCGTATTTTCGGCTGGCAATTTATCACAAAACAGCGAATAAAATCTAAAGAAAAGAAACGAATTGAACCCTATAATTTTGAGGCAAGCAACATAACAATAAATACAGAAACAATAATTTATAATAAATTGTCATTTGACGTGTTTGAAATGTATTGGCAATTAAAAACGCAATTGAAACGAGGGGAGTGCGGTAAAGATCGGCGCTCCTTGGTGCAGTGAATCGCTTTTGGGAGCACTATATTTATGAGTACCAGCGAACTTTGGAGTTCATGAACCTAAATTTGGGTGTGTAGAGTTTGGTCATGATACTTCAAACAAATCAAATCAAAGGCAAGGCAAGCCGAGTAAGCAAACGACTCTGAGGCTGAAAAAATAACTATGTTTAGTAGATAAAAATCAAAATAAATCCTTTCTTTAATAAAATCAGATCAGCAGATATTCTAACCGAGTTGAGATCATATTTTAAAATATATTTGCTTATGTGTCATTCTATTTCTATAGAAACCGAACAAAATGTTCTTTCCAAAAACTGAGCCCTCATATTATTCCCTTTTTTGTAGTGTCTTCCAAAAATGCTGATTAAAGGTCTTTTCTCTGTCGATTTTGTTGCCGATTCCCGTTGTCCCAGGTCCCGCCCATTCTCAATTTACTTTGGTTTTTGGTCGCGTTTTGCTTGCCCCTTATATTTTGGCTTTTGCTTTTTGTTGGGAGTTGCATGTTGGAGACCGGAGTTGAGTGCAGTTTGCTTAGGGCGTACTTAAGTACCGTTATTTTAATAAACGCCGTTTGCGCATGCGCAGCTCAAGTTGGCCCTGTTTCCTCAGTGTTTTGTTTTTGGGATACTTTTCTGTGCAACTGAAAAGACTTTCTTCACATAAAAGAAATTGAATTACTGCTGATGGCAAAAAGCTAATTTTGTTTTTCAAAATTTAGTATAGAGACTGATCGGGATAAAGGAGAGGTGGGTGGAAGGAAGTGCCTCATAAAGTATGCCATTTGTTTTTCGTAATATTTATTTACTTTGCCCATTGCATAGATGCTTTGTTTGTTTATTTTCGCTTCGTTCTGTTTGTCGCTTTTTGCATAAACATTTATGCAAATGTCAAATGCCTAATTGACAGACAAGAGCCAAGTGCTTGCCTTGCCTTTTCCTAAAAATATATATAAAAGCTTTATTGCCTACAGTCGGGAATGCCGACTCAAGAGTACCTGGTACTCATTGAACTTGGCAAAACTAAAATAAGAAACAGAGAAACCTTGCACAAAACTTAAGGAAAACTACGCATTTTCTTGTTTTTGTTTTTTAAGTAGAGAAACGGATATTGTAAGATTTATTGCCAATTTAAAGGCTTAAAATCGCCTCGTTAGCTTGGTAATTAACATATGTTTCTACGAGTACAACATACCCTTCTATTCTGGAGTGTCGAGTATAAAATCCATGACAGTGACCAGGCATTGTCTATGCTGCCTGCGAATTACAATTTACGATCGACGATCAGCGAATTGAGCTGAGCGACAGCTCCACATTTTGTCAGCTCGGTCGGCGGAACCCTCTGATTTGGAACGACCTTGAGCCTTTGTGCGACCTAATAGAGACCAACCCCACCCCCTGGAGGGGAACATTCAATTATCTAGATATACGTGTTATAAAGTGATCTAATGAATTTACTTTATGCGTGTTTCATTTGATGTTGATTGTCCGATAAACATTTTATTTCGGTTTTTAATGGCCCTAGCTGGCTGCCGTCGTCGCAGTTGTTTGTTTTGAGTGAAAGTAATTTGTCGATTATATATATTTTTGGTGGCTGTATCTACATACATATGTATATCTAAGCGACTGACACGCCTAGATAGTTGGCACGTCATGTGCTAAGAGCCAAAATCCGAGAGCCGGTCCGCAGATTCTCTGACTCATGCCGAAGAAAGTTTAAACAATGCTTTTCGGGTTGTTAATTCCTTGCCTTTCCCAAACTGATGATCACCGACGCTGATGAACGTAAATATAGTTGTAGTCATCAGGGTTTTGTGTGTGCTTTATGCCTACAACCACTTATTTAGTCGATCATTTGGCAGCAGGTGAGGAGAAATTAAAGATTGGGCGTGGCTTTCGAGAGTCGATTGAGTTGAAGATGGGCTGGCCCTTAATTATGAAAGTTGAATACGATAGGATTGTTTAGTCATGGAATAACTTAGTTCTAAAGTTAGGCAAGTGAATTAAATCAAATGGATGGAGATTTTCCACAGATATTCAGCAAATTGGCCCATCTTGCACTGTATCTTCGATCTGATCTCCCACTCCACTCGAGTTCATGGCAATGGACAAATTGTTTTGCCATATATAGTATGCATCATTGAGCTCTTTCGCCGGGACGAATCGATATCATTACTCGAGATCTGAGCAGTCTGCAATTCCAGGCCATTTACATGATCACCTGAAGAAGATGCACGCCCATTGTAACCATTGCGAACTGGAACTGTGAGACAGCATTGACAGGCGGAATAAAGGCAATCTTCCATTTAATAACCAATTATCATTGATCAACTGAACTGCACGCCCAGTCCCTAGAGATCGGGGTTGGGGGGAATTGGCTCGAGAACAGAGAACGAGAAACGAATGCACTGGCCACTGAGCAATATCAATTACGAATTACATCTGATTATCCGCCTCTGCCTGGGAATCGACCACATTGCCATTGCCATGGCCAAGGTGAGTGGCGATCGTGGATGCGGCTCGCGAGATCCCAGAACTGAGATCCCAGAACCGAGACCCCAGATCCAACTCCCGCCTGGGGGCTATGTGTGTCTGATTAGCGCATAAACAAGTTAATGCCATTGATGATGACGATGCTGAGCCACCTGAACAGACGCCAAGTGCATTGCAATGGGATCGGATCGGATCGGACGGACTGCGGAGCGTACGTGGTGCGATCTTATTGTTTTCTTTGGGAATCAAAAAGATAAATGGTTCATGCGGGCAGTTCTCCTGCAGATAAGGCAAACTTCTGGCCTCTTTGGCAGTCTCACTGCGTCGTCGTTGTCGTCTTTCGTTGACAACTGGCGGCGGCTCCACGAGCTTTTGATCTTGACGAACTTTTAGCCGCCGCCTCGGGCAAAGCCTACACATACCGTATACTCGTATGTAGTGTACACCATTGGACCATGTTGAACTTTCCCAGTTTTGTCGTTGTCTCCACTCTCGTCTTCCTAGAATATGTATCTCCGTCCGTTACTGTTTGCCCAACACTCTTCGAGGCGAACAGGGTGTGGGGTGGCGATATGCTAATGCTGTTTGGGTTTGGGCAGCCAAAAGCCAAACAATGTTTGTTGACGTTACCTTGAATTCTCGGGGAAACAAGCGACACAAAAGCCCCATAGCTACAGCGATGGAGTATGGTAAACAGAGAGGTTTCAGATATGTCATGGGCTCAGAGCAAACGGCAGTTGACATCATAGTTAGGGTTCAATTGCTCTGGGTTCTCAGGGATCGTCTTTGTATTCGACAGCATAAATTAAACTTAGCGTGAGTTAGGCACTCAGTATATGGATCATTACTCGGAAGTGGTACCTACATTAAGTGTAACTGTTATTAAAATGAATTGTTGATAGTAATTTTTTAAAAGATTTAAATTCTAAAAATCAATATGGAACAGAGAATGGTTAGACAGGATCACAGACTATGCTCAATGATCAATTCTGAGAATAAAACAAATGTAATAATGTAAATTTAGAAGTCATATAACTATTTGCTTAGTGTATTTTGGGAGCCTCCCTGCCGAAAGTCTGGGAATGATTTAATTCGTTGGCATTAACGTGGACAATTGTCTGCGGCTGTGGGAGTGATGCGACTTGTGTGCTCCTATGCAAATGAGGGGACAATTATGCTGATCAGCGCTAATTGGGGGAGCCATAATGACCCACAGAGTGACTAACCCAGTTCTGTTCTCATCTCTTTCCATCCACAGGCTGCCCGGCGACGACGAGTTCCCACTGCCTGCGCTGCAACAAGGCGGGCTGCATCAAGTGCCCCATGTACCTGGTCACCGACACGAGGCAGTGCGTCGACCAGTGCCCCGCCGGCTACTTGGACCAGTGGTCCGCCCACACGGAGTTCATGGGTCGCGTATGCGTGCCCACCGGCTACTCTGGACCACTGATGGCAGCGCTGGCGGGTCTGTTAGGTGGCTTCCTGGTCTGCCTCTCCCTGCTGGCGGTGGCCGTGATGTTGGTGAAGAGGAAACGACGGCGGAAGTCGGTCAAGCAGAAGCTCATCAACGAGAACACCATGGATCGGGCGGACTTCATGCGGCAGCTGAACGAAATGCGTCCCAATGCGGAGTACTTCCTGGCCATGCTGAACGACACCCGGCGGCAGATCAGGAAGCTCTACCTGTCCGGCGAGGTGGCGGCTGCCAACTCGTACAGACCCATTGTGCGGGACCTGGCCAAGCTGCTTATCCTGCTGAACAGGCCCATCGAGCTTATTCCCGCCCCGCCGCCGGATTGGTCCCGGCTGTACGCCTGGTCGGAGCAGGCCCTGGAGCGCTATAAGCCGCAGGTGGGCCAGCTGATCGACTTCTTCCAGGCCTCGCAGAACCACAACAGTGGCCACCACGAGGTGCTCTACGCTGCGCCGGCGAAGAAGAAGGCGCTGCAGCAGGCCAGCATCTTCAGGCAGCAGGTGACGCCCACGGCGACGCCGCAAGGAGTGGGCGAGCTGATGGCCGGCGACCGGAGCAGCAGCGCCTCGGCGCAGCAGAAGCTGCACCTGTTCGGCTCGCTGATCAGCCTGCACGAGTTCGAGGAGCCACGGGCCTCGGATCCGTTTGGGAGCAGCTTCAACACGCTCAAGAGCGGCAATCTCATCTCTGATCTCAACGCCAGCTCGCTCTGGCTGGAGGACGAGTTCTACAAGTTGGGCTTTCGACCGCAGGACGAGATCACCACGGAGCTGTAACCGCATCACAAACACAGGCTCAATGAAGCTTAATCTAAAACGAAGTATTATCCCGGCTGGCGGCGCTAGTCGCTCGAAATTAGCGCCAGTTCAGCTGGGAGAGCGTTTGCGTGCGCGCACATTCCGCCAGGCCATCATCATCTTTAACTCCATCGACAAGCTAACTGGGGAGGCCGTTTAGCCGGAGCCGCTAAATGCCCACGTTTAGAGCTTAGTTAGATCAGTTAAGCAAGCAAAACTAGTCACGTAAAATCACAAACAAAACCATCAACACACAACGATGCCGTGGAGAAGGAGCAAATGCAAATGGAAATCGCGTGGAAATGAATTTAGTTTTATGGATTTTACAAAAATCGCAACAATCATGTAACGAACAATATTCAATATACACACTATAGAGATACTATTCAGATAATATTTAAGTTGCTTAGCGGTAGGAAAGCGATACTTATAGTTATAGCTTACGTAGACAGAGATTATAAAGCTTAGTAAATACGAAATGGATAATAAAATCGTGTGCCTTAAGAGTGTAAAATGTGTAAAGTGTGTAACAATTTGTATTATTAACCAGGCGCTGTCATCGGACAAAGTCAGCCAACGCTAAGGCTCCTCGTACTTCCAGAGTATGTCGGGTTCCTGCTTGAGCTTCAGCTCGCCATGTCATGTGTCTTCTTTAATTGGTTCCGAGGGAACCACACATTCGGGCACAACTTGTCGCTCGTTCACCAGCCGGGACAACTCTTTGGCATCATAGCCGATCAGCAGCTTTAAGTCGCAGTCGAATTTGTAGGCGAATCGCTTGTTTGACACCTTGGAGATCATATCCCCATCGTAATAGTAGCGGAGAGCTCGCGACAGCTTCTCGTAGTTCATGGCGGGCTTGTTTTTCTTCTCGCCCCAAAGACGGGCCACTCGGTCGGGGTCAGTGAGCTTGAACTCTCCCTCGGTGCCCACCCACTCAATGATGTCCGTGTGCTCGCAGTCGGTGAGTATTTCAAGTAAGAACTGCCACAGCTGCACCTGCCCATTATTGCCGGAACCAATGGTGGTGTAATTCGTGGGACTCTGGGACGTCGGAGAACTTTCAACGGCTGTAAAGGAATTAGTATCGTTAGATTACGCACTTAAGTTTCTTTCTGCATTACTTACAATCCGAACCCTTGACTGCTTGGTAGGATTTCCGCATAATCCTCTGCTCTAGAGAAACAGAGCCCGGAGTGGCCGATATGGCACTCGCAGCCATAATCCTGGGTTGCTTGGGTTTCCTCAGCTCCTCTGCCTGCTTGTGCACCACGGACACAAAGTTGCATTCCTTCAGAAGTTGTAGGTGCGTCCAGAAAACGTTGCCCGGATCACGTGGCAACTTTCGGCTGAACTCCTCGTGCGTCATGGCACACAGTTCCTGGCCGTTGATCTGCCAGTCGTTCATGTTGATGCCACGTAGCTCGAACTGCTTGATGGCCCACTCCAGCCAATGCGTCACGTGGTTCTGCGTCCACTCGATGGCCGCTTCGGGAATCTTCAGACGCGCCTGCTCCCGCTTGAATTTGCTGTCCAGAACCCAGTTGAGAACTGGTTTAACATCCTTGGCGGTTTCTTGGGGCTCCTCTTCGGAGTCTTCTCTGTGCTTCCGTTTTATTGGTGTTTTGGTGGGACTTTCGCTGGAGGAGCTCTTTTGGCTGGCGGTTTCGGGTGGTGAGAGCTGGGCCACCACCTCCTCGGCCAAAGCAGCCAGAGCTGCTTCCGTGGGCTTAAGGACATCGGCGATGTTTATGCGTTTTCGTATAGTTTGAATTTGCACGTTGATCTGCACCAAACCCTCTCCCTTGACGCACTGATCCACCAGGTTTTTGTGGGACTCCAGCTGAAGAAGAGACAAAATAGATTAAGAAACCGAAAGGATCTCGAGTGTGTTGACTCACCTCCTGTGCGTCCTGCAGCCAAAAGGTGTAGTAATTCAGGCATACGCCTATCTTTTGTTCAACAAGTGATCTGTTTTAAAAGAAGAAAAGAGATACAAAAGGGGAAGTCGCAGTGAGTTTAAGAAGCCTTACTTGAGCATGCTGAGCGGCTCTCGGATGTCCATGTGCACGATGATAATGTCGTCCGGCTCCGCCTCCGTTTCAACATCGATACTGTCCTCAAACATTTCGCTTGCAATCACTTCCTCTGCATAATTGTTTACAATTAAATTTTGAGTTACAACAGGTGCGTCCCAATTGGGAATTTGTAATTTCCCACTCACCCAGGGCTCCGCCAACACTTAAGCGGCGTATAAGCTCGTCCGACAAGTCATTGCTGCTGTCCATCGCGGCTTTAGTTTGTTTTTAACTATCAATATTTACCTTTTTATGGTAAGCTATTTATCGCGTGGATTTATTGTTGCATTTTAGGGCTGGCAAGAGACTCCCGAGAGGACCGATATATCGATTGTTGACTTGAAAAATATCGATGTTTTAATTGTGTGACCAAAAGATATGCCAGGGTCTAACAATCGTTTCTCAGTGCTGCCATCTGGTTGTACGTTTTTAGAATTTGGCGGTTCTTTTAAATAATTACCTAAAAACCAATAAAAATAAAAAGATCAATCATCAAGGAGTCATGATCAGAATACTTTCAGAATTAACTAATTAAGATAAAATGGCTATTTAAGTTAAGAATATAAGAAAACGGTTTTTAAAGGGATACTGATTCTGTTGTCTTTAAATAATTTTTTCCCTGTGTATAAAATTTTAGGCAAATACAGTCATCACAATATTTTCGCCATCAATGTTTGGTTCATCGCCAGCAATTAATACTTAAAGCCAAACGATCCATAAAAATTAGCAATCTTTTGGTGACAAATACGCCCCCTCAAGTGATTTCCTAGAAAAACAATCGAAATTAATTGAGGAATTCGCAACAAAGAGTTGATGCTTAACACGGCCACTTGTGGGTGAGTGGCTTCCTCTTCATTCGAGATATTTTCGCCACTTTCTTTCGGCTTAAAAAACTCAATGGGCAGACACAATTGGCAATGTTTGTCTATAGGCATTGAGGAAGTTCTGCGTTCCCACTGCCAAGTGGAGTGGCAAGTGGCAAAGTGCTCCTCATCTTGGGCTAATGCTGATTAAATGCCCCGTAACACGATCAGTACGTCAGTGGGTCAAAACGGTGGGACAAAGAGAGCCAATTGTGCAATCACGACGAGGGACGGAAAGTAGCCTCAAGTGCACAGCGCACTTGTTGTTAACACAAGCGATTTTCCATGTTCCGCGATATTGTCAAAGTCGGCTCCCGCAATGAAAACTACGGAGTTGGGAACATTACCTCATTGTTGACTCAGTTGGCGTTGATGAACGATATTTGCTTGCGAGTATCTCGCCAAATAAACGGGATGACAGCAGATTCGAAGACCGCTAGATGTGATTCAGTTTTGTTCCAGGAATATTCTAGTACATCGTCCTCAGTCACAACCTTGCAACTCCATTTCCCCTTTCCGTTTCGTGTCCGATACAAAAAGCTAATAAACTAGAGTGCGGGTATTTTTGTTTAACGACAAACTCTGCTTTGTTTATTTACCAGCCAAGCTGTTGACTAATATTAGCCAGCTGGCCAAATTCTGGCGCTTGACTTCAGGTCATCTGCTGTGGTCTTTCCATTATTGAAGTTGAGTCATTGCCAATGTCATCCCGGTTGGTTAGGATAATAATAGATATGATAAATTACCTTTCTACCAGTATCGCCTTATCCCCAAACTTGTATTTGTCATTGTATGCTAATGAAGGGTAATCTCATTACACGTTAAGTATCCGCCGCATTGACCTTCCCGGAGATAGAAATCTAGACTGTTCGAAAATTGTCTAGGTCATGACATCCAGCTGCAGTGGGGATATAAACAGATACCCATTCCCTTTTGGAATATGGTTACAGACAATGACAACGTGAAAAACTCACATAAAACCGATACCATAAAACTATGCGCAGTCATTGTGGCGCCTCCGACTGCCAGAAATTCCCTTATAGTCCGCTGCCAAGAGCCGCCGAAAAGAACGCGGTTAGAAAACAACCCCTTGGGGTTTTGCCACAGGACTATTACTTGTCGGCCGAGCGTTCAACTCCACGAGAATTGCGTCACTGGATGGCTGGAATTAAATCAATAGGGACAACTCCCACGCGGGGCGATAAAGTGGAGCAGAGCCCGGGACTTGGAGAATTTGCATTTCCGTAGCCCATACTGAATGGCCAGTATTTGGGTCGCCGAAGGATTGCTGCAAGGACATTTCAAAGGCGGATAAGCATAACTCGGCGGGTCCGGTCCTTCCGTTTCAGCTTTTTGGCTCTTCATTTCATAATTTTTGTTTTAATTAATTGGCTTTTCGAGTGAATTATGGCGCTTTTTTCGACTACACCTAGAAACCTTCGGTCGAATTAGGGCCAGGATATGAACTCGTTTGTGGCCCACTTTTTATTGGTTTTTCGAACAAGTCCGAATTATTTATTAGCCAGTTGAAGGCAGTGCAGTCACGTTATTGATGAACCATTTAAGTGGTTGGCCAAGAAGCAGGACATAGATATAGTTGCCTGAGAAATGACTGTAAGCTGTATGCTTTTTGTCACCTTTTGGCTATTTCCGATATTATAAATTTACCATTTGAAAGCTTGAGTCATTCTTGGGTTTCGAACTCGATTCATTAATATTCCGCAACTGTGTCACCAATGGTCAAAATATGGGAGGAAACACTTGTTTAGCTGATATGCGTACAATTACGGATGGTCAATGTGTCATTAACATGTGGCTGATCCGCACAGATTTTTTATCTATATCTTTTTTATTAATATTTTAAATCGTCTTTGTCAAGGTTTTTAAAATTCAGAAGACACAGAATATACTTTATGAGATCCCTAAGGTATTAAATTTTATTAAATCAAATAAATCAGTACTGGTCTATGAATTCATTTATAAACTTAGGAGATCGTTTGCTATATGACTTTCATACAAAGTATGCATGTACCTTAAAAAATGAAATAGTTTAAAGCAATTTAAGTTCAACGAGCTTATTACCTTACCTATCAATATTAAAAGGAACTATTAATTTTTATTTTTGTTTATATTTTTCTGCAAAGCTTTACCTATCAGTAAACTGCAAAACCGTATTTTAATTTGTCTCTTCTAATTCTTATTTTTTAATCTTAAATGGGGCTGTTGACTCGACACCCACAGCAACCACTCGCAACATGTTCGAATCGCCAACGGTTGGTTTTGCCCAATCTCCCAAGTTTAATGCCTTGCACTTTGAAATAGTTAATTAAAAATATTCGTATGTGTTTTAGAGAGAGTGATTTTATAAGAATGATTTTATAAAAATAAATATATTTGTTTGATTTTTTTACTTCAATTGTTCTTTAAAAGGTTTGCCAAAAGTAATAGATGCCCTTTTTTTGAAAACATTTCTCTGAGTGTGAATTTGGTTGGCGGCATTTGTTGGCTTCGAACTCATGCACGGTTCTTTGCTTACTCGGAATCCATTTCAATATTGAACGACAGTCTTCTGGCAGAATTGAAATGCGACGGGTTGGTCTTTCGGAGCGCGCGTGAACCGAAATACAAAAAGTGTCTCACAGTGGCGACCGCTCGCGAGTTTTGTTTTTGGCCAAAAGCGATTGCTATAACGCTTATTTGATTAAGTACGCAAGTTTCGTTACTTATTTTTTGTTATCTTTGAGAGCGTGCGTGTGCGTTTGTTTTCTAGTTGTTGTTGCTTAAACTGAGTGGGCGGCTTTTCGTGTGGGCGTTTGTTTGCCATTTAGAACACAATTTCAGCGTTGGCAGCAAACTAGTTGGCCTGGTAATAAAAAAAACACGCGATATGCCATTAAAAATTCAATTTCTTTCATAGGCAAAACGGCCAACAATAGACCGGCCAGGCTAAATTTAAAATTTGTTACAAAAATACAAAATACCACAGATATGCATGCGTGACATTGCCCCTGGCGGCCAAACAACAATAGCAACAAAAATCTAGGCGGCTTCCATCGATTTGCATTCGTTTTCCCTTCGCTCTAATCAAAATCAAAAGCACACACACACGCACGCTCAAATACACGCTATCAACAATCAAAGTGTAACGGGCATTGTAAAGTTTCGTAAATCCAAACCACAAAAAAAATTAATATTAAACATTTTCTTGTTTCATTTGGGAAAACAGCTTGAAAATCAAAAAAATTGAAAAATACACATAACAACAAAAAGGAAACCCCTTCAAATTTTGGTGTGGCAGACAAGTGGAAAAATCAAACGAGGTGAGTTTGGCAATCGTGTAAATTGATTGAGTTTTAGGGGGATCCCGAATTGACCCGGGCAATTATTGATTTTGCTGGCAAAGTGTCCTTCGGCCGATTGCAATGCCGGTCCCGAGAGCTCCGCAGCAGCTGGATTTCCCAAGGACGCCTCCTGCTGCAGTGCTTGAACTTTTCACCTCCTGAAAACCGTCCCCACCTCCGACCATCCACCCCTCCCGAACAGCTGGGAAATCGCTCTCTGGCCGCGCCGGCAACACTTTCCGCTTTTCCGTGTTGCAACCGCTCTTGCTTTCAATTTCAATGCAACGCCGAACAAGTGGCAGCAGGCTCTCTTAGCCGGCGCTTCGAATGCGGCACGTGGGTGGGTGGTTCTTGTGGTGCTGCAAGCGGTGTGGGTGCCCAGACCTGCACCACCACTGGAAGCCCATTTTGGCTATGGGAGCCAAGCACCACTTGTTTCCCACAAAAATGTTGACTTCAACTCTGTATTCAATGGGAGTTTGATTTCCATGTACGAGATTACCCATTTTCATATGCATATTTTAAAAAAAGTGTTTTTCATATTTTTATGATGTCAAACATTCAAAAGAATATAATTTTCTTGTCCTTGTACTCGGAAATTTTCTTGTTCATATATTTATCACTTGGGTATTTAACAGACAGAAAAACATTTATTTTCACAAAATTGTAGAGAAAATATTGCCAGGTATTTTCATAAATTTCTTTAGAATATGGAATTTATTGTGATTTTAAAAGCCTTAGGTGGCTAAATCTCTTGCAAGTATGCAGTATGAGAAATTTTTAAACCGAGCCCAACTCAATAAATTTGCCTTTGTCAATTTTGCGGTTTATTTTTGCGCTGCACAGCTCACATTAATTAAGTTTCAATGGTGCCCAATCAGGCGGCAATCAAGTACAGTGGGCACTCAGAGCCAAGCACGCAGTGGTGTGGGCAGTAATTAAAGTTTTAGCGATTTTACACCCGTTTTAATTTAACACAAGAGCGATTTTGTCGGCCTGTTAATCAGATTACAGCGGACATAAGCATATGCGAGGCTGTCGTTTGATAGAAGTCCTCCGATAAGCGCCGCACAATGTTGGCGAGTGCGCCAAAAAAAAGACTATATACATATAGTATATATAGAAAAGGGGCTCGTTATATCCGGGCCATTGTAATTTCAAAGCAGAGGGGTTCCCTTATCTGTTTATTTGATTTTTATTTGGGTATGAGCTCATCGCCGGCTGCAGATTTTGTTTCGCAGTCAGGTAGAGCGGCGAAAGAGATCAAGTTCCCTATTCGAAATTATTTTCCCCCCGAAGAATCCACCCTCAAATAAATATTTGAGGGTTTCCCCCTTTGCGGCATCGATTTCACATTACTTCCCCTTTTGGCGCGTGTTTTCAATTCATTTAAGGTGAATTGCCCGTCGATTGTGTCTTTTATTCGGGTGTAATAAATTCCCTTTATGATTTTAACCCCTTCTTGATTGTTATTGTGTGATTGCATTTCTCCAGCTCTTTTATGGCTGCATTTTGAACTGGGCTATTTGCATAATTGCATTTGCCGCTCATATAGGGCGTCCCATCGCTCCCTCCACTCTAATTTCATGCCATATTTTCACCTATGTATACCACCCATGGAGTTTTAGTTGATTGCAGCATTTTGTGGTTTCCCGTTGGTTTTCATTATGTTTTCTCCCCCGGTGGATTCGGCTTACCTTTTTGTGGTTTCGCACCTTGTTGGGATTTGAGGGAAGTGAAAAGGGGAGTATGGGAAAGTTCCTGCCGTATGATTTTCTTTTAAATGCAAGTCCATGCACACTTTTAGTTATTTTCCCAAACGCCATTATTTTTCGCTCATAAACATTGTTTTTTTTGTTATATTTATAATCTCTTTTACCTTAAATATATGGAAAATTAAATTAGTGTTTTCGTTCACTATCGTTCTGCCCTTTTAACACAACATGCAATGCCCTCGCGCGCTGTTAGATAGGCTTTTTATTGCACAATTCACGCGTAATGTTTATTTTCTGTCTAGGTTCAGGCCCCTCGAAAATCGTTGCTAGTTTCATGAGTCATTTGATAAGAACAAATGATAATTGTGGCGCTGCTGCAACAAAAATAACAACAATTAAGCGAGGCAGCAGCAGTTCTTATGCTTATTAAAATGGGAAAGCGAGCGAACAAAAAAGCGGAGAACTGAAAAGAAAACAGAACTATTTCAAGTGCAAAGTGAGGCGCAACATTCCTCGCCCACCTCATTTGGCCTTTCTGTGGGCGGTGGGTGGAGGTGGGAGGCAGAGACGGTGGGTGTGGCGAAATTTCCTGAGCCGCTCGACATTTTTCACTCTCGCTCTCCCTGGCCTTTATTCAAGAATTATTTATACACGGGTCTATATGCAGTATCAAACAAACACGCAACAACAAAGGCAGCTGCCGTAGAAAACGCATAAAAATTTAAAAATTTTTGTTGCCACCTTCAAGGTCACAGAATATCGTTGAAATGCTTGTCGTCGGTTTGAAGAACCAGAAAGCAGAGAGCATTTGTTAGTCATTAAGCTATACGTGAACAGAGCAGCTCTCTTAAAGTGTTCACATATATATATACGAGTATATATCACCTTTAGCCAGTCGAATGCAGCGCTTCCGAAATCATAAAACTGAATACGAAATACGAAATACGCGAACGGGAATCTCATTCATTCACAGGCCCCTCGTGATTGATAAGGCAGGCGCGAGCAGCTTGACAAACTTTTTGCCTAATTCTCTTTGACTTTGGACGGGTGTTATGAATATTAATAGTACGGTGACGTCAGCAAGTGCATTTGACAGATGGAAAAACATAAAATTAAATGCAAATGGCAGGGAGGGCAGTCAACTCAATGAAGATGAATGGGTGACTGAATGGAAAGGGCAAATGTTAAAATGTAATATATTCAATAGCATAAAAAAAAAAAAAAAAATAGCTGCTCAAACACCACATTATGTTTGAAATTTTTTAAAAAAAGTGGGGTAAGTTTTATGAGAACAAAATATTAAATACTAAGGAAAAACTGACATTGAAGGTGACTAAGAATAGGGATGGCTAAAGTTATAAAAACTCATACATAATCACACATGAGGCAGCAGTTTTCTCATTACCAACGAAAAGCTGACAACTCGGGCTGTCACAAACATTTGACATTTTCATTTGACTCAGTCAGAAATAGACAAACACAAATAGCAACAACCACCTGCAGCACCCAGCGCGTAACTAATTTGACACACCAAACAGAAGGGGCGGGGAAATTCGGTGGCTTCCCCCGAAAATTGCACCGCGTGTCGGCCTTCCGAGCAAACTCCAAACTCCATCAACTGTCCGAAGGGTCAAAAGCTCAACAACCAACATGCAATGGCGTTAAATTTTTATGCGTGCCATGGAATTATGACAGAGGGTTTTTCGGTTGGGAGGTGGCGTTGCAATTGTGGGTGTGTTTTTTTTTTTACCACTGGTCGGTCACGCAATGCAGATGGAAAGCGTTGCCAGCGCTTTCCGCCTCAAGATAGCAGGCCAGAATTGACCTTCTTTTATGGCATAATACTAGGAAGTCCAGCAAAGAAGAGCTCTTTTTGGCTTACACAGCAATGACATCAACTTCGGAGCGAGGCCTTATCTCTGCGGCGACATCGCAATTTATTAGATTGTGTGCTCTTAAGTTTATCACGTAAATTAAATATTTTTGTAATCTGTTGTAATTTCTAAAGTGGAGATAGCGAAAAGATAGCACTAGGCGACAAAAGATCAGAGTAAGCAAGGTTGCACTGGATGCAAATTAATGAATAAACAGATAAATATTTAAATAAAATATTCTTATAAAACTTGATAATGGACAGTGGGGGGTACAAACCTTGTAAAAAATTTACCAATTTAAAACTATCAAAATCAAATAAATTTTGATAACGATTTTTTAAGGGGTTAAATGAATTTTTACATTGATGTTTCTGATTTGAACACTGAAATTGTCAACTCTTTTTCTGTCTGTCATTGGAATCCAATATCAATTTGATTCCGATACAAATATCGAGTGCAACTCATTCCGCTTGGAAGACTTGGTGACCGAAAGCCACGATAACCTTGAAACAATACTAGGCCCACTGACCGGCTTACGTCACTTGGGTCCACAAATAGAGGCAACAACCACGAGCGGCTAATGTCCGGCTTCGAAACGTTAACGAACAAGTGAGAACGATGAATGTCACCGAGACTTTTGACGAAATTGGAGCGCACGCTCCGATAAAAGCGAAAACAGCACAACACCCGTAAAATAAAATAGATATGGATACACATTCGAATGATTTACGGCTCCTTTGATAGTGCCAATGGCCAGTGGCCAATGGCCACTCGTCGGATCACCTATAAAAATAGCCACCTGAACCAAAAGTAAATGCTGAGCAAGTCGAAGAAAACTAACACAACCAATGGAATTGGGTGAATCTCAAACAAATAATTCTGAACAAATAAACGGACATTAAATTAGAATCCGCATTTTAAGGCGAACATGCGGAACATTCAGAGGAAGGCAACACCTCTGCCAAGTTTAAAAAAGTGCTATAAATGTTTACTGGCTAATTTGAATGACCAAAAATGTGCAAATGTTTTCTCAATTAAAATGCCATTCCGCATAGTTTCGGTTATACAACTAGCGATGCTAAAAATCCATCAGTAGTCGCTTTTTTTGTACCCTATAAAAACTCTGCTTTCATTTTATAAGCATAAGACATACCATTTAAAAATCAATTGTTTCTAATCACAAATGTTTAAGAGAATATTAAATTGGAAAAAAATTAACATTAAATTATCTATTCATATGTTCGCTATTCAAAGACACTTTTTTGTCGATGGATTTATTGTTGTTATTGTTACCAAGACAGATTACGCTGAACTTGTAATGTGATTAGGTTTTTATGGATACTCGTAAAGCGAGTGCTGATGTCAAGTATACGACACGTGCGCCGCAATGGCTTATTAACGATTTGGCGCCAACTATTGGCGCTATCAAATTCCCCCACTGTAGTTTGGCTTTTGCTATTTTTTCACTCACGAAATATGATTGATCTGCGTGGTGAAGTATTTTTGACGGCACCGCAGTGGGATGCTGGCGCTGACCCAGTGTCGTTATTTACTTTCAATAATATCTATGAATATATTCGCCTGACAAAAGAGAACCGAAAATAAATTCTGGACCATTGTTGTTGCGTTCTCTGAGTTGTGAGTAAATTGCTTATTTATATTATTCTGCGACTAGCCCGGCGGATAAAAAAGTGACAACGATGACGTCGACTTCGGCTTGGGAGCAAACCAAAACAAAACCAAACAAAAACTGGTGCTATTTATTCGCCATATCCCCTTGGGTTCGTTATTGTTTGGCTTGTGGTCTCACTTAATTGGTTTTTTCGTTTGCCCAAAGCTGAAGCAAATGATCAGTCATCATCCACTACGTATACGTAATATTGCAGTCGGCAAGTGCTGCATTGCCCCCGCAATTTGTGGGCGTTTGTAATGCTCTGTAATAATGATTCTGACAGAATGGTTGTTTCGTATGCCATAAAGATAGATAAATTATTAAGTGCTCATGCCTGACATGAGTAATAATTTGCAATGCTAATTCGCATTTGTCAACCTGCCACGGAGACAATTGAAAGAAGCCTAAAATTTATATTTAGGTTGTCGGTGAGGAACTAAACAATTTATGAATACGAATGTTTATGCCCAAATTAATGTCGAAGAGTCGCCGCCGAATTCTGGGAAGCTATTAAGTCATTAGAAAAATGGCTTCTTAAGTTTTTGACATTCGTGAAGTGAGCAATTTTTTACCGAAATTTGTGCAGATTTGGCTGTCGCATTTTTGACCTCGGGTCAATGCTACACTTGTAACAACTCCAACTCCAGAGCTGAACCCTTGTCATTGTCACACGACAAGTGGCGATGAGGAGCAGAGCCCAAGAATAACTCAAGACAGCCATGACAATTACATAATTACCAACTTGTGTGCCGGCAATTAACTCGACACTCCGCTCTTGATTGATGACACCCGCAGGGAGTTGGGAACACTGTCCTTTGCCTTCAATATTTACACTCGTTAAGCAATAAAATTATTGAACGTCAATTGATCCAATTTCTAATTCGGAGTGTAAGGGCTGTCGAAGGCTGTACACACTGATTTAACCCAATAAATGTCGATTTAAAATGCATAATGTAGCCGCTAATTGTTACAACAAACCACAAAAGCCCAAACGAATGGTTTGGCTTGGCTGGGCTGGGTGTTTTTGGGAAGTGCGGGTCATCCAGGGTTCAATGATTATTAATCAAATGCCAGTTTAATTATGCGACTTGCTGGAGACGCACAGACACTCGACTCTCGTGTAATCACTCAGGGTCCCCGGTTTCCCCTTTGCGGTCTGCGCCTTCAATTAAAATTCGTTTCGCCTTTGATAAAATTGATCGCCCAGCGAGGCGGTCCCGAAATTGAAAGTTTACGAGCTCGCTTTTTTTGGCACTAGAATGAGTCTTTCTCGGTTATTATGGCTCTTTGTCTGTTCTTGGCGCCCAATCGAATGTCAAGTATGAATCCATTGACGACCATTTCTCTCGATGGCCCTTCGTCGTGACAATTGTCTCTCCCCCATGCTTTTTTTTATTACTTAATATCTTTCGTTTCTGTTTTTGGAAAAGTATTTTGATTGTTTTTCCTCGGTTCCGGACAGCGTTTCTTTGCAGTTCGTGGCTGGCTTTTATCGGGAGCGGTTCTCTTTCGACTTCGACTTGGCTCTTTAGTTTTTTGCATTTTTGCTTTGTTTCCGATTTCGCCTGGATAACCCAAACAAGTAATACTCCGTCGATATCCGATACTCGTTTTGGGTCTCTGCCTTGGCTTCGGTTCGTTTTTTGGCATTGAACTTGCCGCTTAATCATTGTCAAAACACACGATCACGGCTCGCCTATGCAAACAAAAATACAAGCGATTGCATTCAAGCTTTCGATAAGCAAACTTAGTGCTCTTCTGGTTTTGTTTATTTTTGGTTGCTCGTATTTGCATCATAAATTAGTTTTCAATTTTAGGCTCAAACATTGACAATATGACATCATAAATTGTGCACGAAAAAATTATATATCGTTTATGATTTAAATTCAAAGCTAATAATCATTTTGGCGTAAATTTCTTCTGTGTAGTAACAATATTTTAGTTGGTGCAAGTTTTTTAATGAAACATTAAATAAAATCTGCAAATCTGTGGGCGCAAATGCGTGAAAAATCTGGGGGGGGGGGGAATCATTTTTGAGCGAAAAGCGGAACGGAAATGAGGGAGCGAAATGTTCCAAGACCAAATATTATTTACTATTTTTAGAGAAATACAAAAGAATTTCGGTGTGGCAATATAAAATACGTTCCAGTGAAATATAAATATAAAGCGAATGTCAAGGTGAACGTTTTTTTGGTGGGGTTAATTCGGAGGTTCCGTTTCCATGCCCCAATGATTGCATTCAAGCGATGTGATTCATTCGCTTTGACCTCTGATGGTCTGGGGGTTAGCATTAATCTTTGGTCAATTTGATGGAGAACATTTACTTATGCTCAAGTTTGTCCATTCCCCATCCACTTTCAGCCCAAAAAAGACAACATCAGCCAACGAAAAGTATTAGGAGGAGGCCAAACCCAAAAAAAAGAGAGGACAAGTCAGTGGAGGACCCATGCAAATTCTGGTGAAATCTCTTCTTTGGAGCTGGAGCTGGAGCTGCTAGATACGACCGGCAGATAGAGTGTGCTTGGGGAGCACATTTCCGCACTTGGTGGGACACTGGGACGAGTCTGTTTGTTTATTGCAACCATCGCCGGGATCCACACGATGCCAGGCCACTTGCAGGCCATAGATCTTTGAGGCCGGGCCTGCAACATTTGGAGAGCACCGCCGCCGGTTGCTGGTTGCAGCAATCGCCAGATAAATTCTAATAAATAGCCAGACAACAGAATACTTGGCATAAAAATAAATAAGAGTCGAGCAACGTGGAACGTGGAACGCGGAACGAACAGCGCTCCGCACGCATTATTGCAACAGATTCTTCGATTTCGATTTGTGTTTCGGCCGAGGTGCGGAGTGCATTGGCCAGATCGAACGGGTCATAGTCCCCCTACCCCGGATCCCCGATCCCGGACTTCTCAGCCAACATAGACGTAGGTCGCGGCCAAAAAGTGTTCCCGGCCAGAGGCATTCGAAACCGGAGCGAGGTGTATACTTTTGGCACCATGGAGGGCGGTTACGTCAACGAAGGTGAGTTGCCATTAAATCCAAAGCCTTAAGTATGTGCCATGCGATTTTAGGAGTTTGTTCAGCGAATGCCTTCTTTGATGCATCTTATCTAATGATATTCTGTTTGAGTTTGGAATGCTGTTGATTGCTTCGAGATTGATTGAGTTCCTTCCTCTTTTTGTAATTTATACGGCGAGTTTCTTCATTTTTCTTTCGAAGGTGATTAGCTTGTAAGGTAAACGAAAACCCATGTACTCTGGCTGATTACTTACAAGCTAGTTTTGCTTTACAGAAAAATGGGAAATCTTTCCTAGTACACCATTTTATTTATTTTATCTTAAAACGCCTTAGCATTTTAACGCAATTTATTGTAAAACAAAGAAATTTTCATTGCTGGGAAATGTTTATTTCATCAGCTAATTATTCATAGTTGCCGAGCAGTGCATATAGGATATATACGGACGCGATTTAGACACTTACATCATGACTGTTTTCGACAATAAATACTTGTGTTTTCTCATTCATTTTGGGGTTTCTATACGATCAGCTCACCTACAATACCTAAAAATATTTCTCGCACAATGCACAATTCATTCAGCAAAATACTGACAGATGTTTGAACAGAATATTTGACTTTGAATTCGAATTCTTCTCGGGCGGCGGAAGACAGAGGAGATCTGCACAGTGACACCGAAATCTGCAATTTATTAGCAATGCAAATGCGAATGCCGATGCGAATTATTCAAACAGACACTTCACAAACCATTAGTCAGAGCACTGAGGCAATACATCTAGATTTGCAATATTTCTTTTAGTTTTGGCAAACACTTTGGCTAATAGAAATAGACAATTACGTTACCTGACTGAGTCAGAGCACATCACTAACCCAAATCAACCGAATTTATTTAAATACCTGCTGCAGAGGATTCTGACGCCATAATAGGTGTGGAAAGTCCAGGTAAATGAAAAGATCTTCCATTTAATCACGTGCCTAGCAAACGTCTTCATAACCAGCACATAATTAAGAGTCTGGGAAGTGGGGAAACTGGCTTGAAGAGCTCTGTGACGCCCAATTGAAGGCTGAGATGTGTGAACGAGCCTAAAAGCCGGTTTGCCCACAAGTAAATCCCCCAGTTTCTAAAGGGCCCCCAGATAGATGGAATCGGTCGCTGACTCTATATTATCTGTTATGACGCCACAACACCCAATGTCGCATTCTATTTTTGCTTTGTTTTATGTTCATAAGAGGATTACCGAATGTAAATCACGGGCCAAATTGGCCATGCCTCCCATATTAGATTCTCGAACCGAGTATCGGTATGCAAAAAGTTCTAGGGAGGGAAAAACGATCCGTAAAGTAGTCGGCTCGCTGACAACTGTGTGTTCCACAAAAGGCAAAACTGTCTGTCAGTCGGCGGATGCTGGGGGATTTCAATTAATATTCATTTGGGAGAAGGCAAAAACTGTCATAAATTATAGGTTTCCAGTCCGACCAGAGTTCCTTGAGCGGCGTCTTCAAGTACGTGGCGTCAAAAGTGCAACGCGGTCACGTCTTTCGCGGGCAAATTGTTTTCGGCACAAGCTCATGATGTCATCTGCAGGGCCAACGTTTTTTTTAAGGATTCAAAACAAAGCGAAACGATAATAAATCTGCAGTTTTGTGAATGTCGAAGTCGGAGCCAGCCATTTAGTTTGATTCCAGGAATTCCGTATGCGATCCCCAAATCTCATTTATCTTGTGACCATGGCCTTAGAATGAGGTTTCTCCTTCGTTTGCCGCTCCGCCTCCTCTTCTGCAGATTAGCTTTGTTTATGGATTCACAAGAATTTCTGATGGCAGTCGAATTCTTGTATTTATTTGCTCTTGAAAACGGCACATAAATACACTTCACAGCTGCGCAAATGGTTTAATAAAGACGTCCGAGTGCGCCATTAAATTATAATTAAACTATGTTTAGTGTCGGTATTTATGACAATGGACACATGTAGTAAACAACAAAAACTGTTGTGTATGTTTGGTAAATCAAACACTAAATTAGTCACGGGTGGTTCGCTCTTCCAATGACCTTGTGACCCTGCGCGGGCTTTGAACTATAAATTTTATATTCACATGTCTGTAAGAACTTAAATAAAGGCCCAACGATGACGGCAGCATGACAAATGCCAGTGCCCAAAATTTATGGGCAACAGCGGTACCCTGGGAAAGGGTACAAGTATTTTCACAAAAAAACTAAAGAATCCATTCGGAAATGCAAAGACAACAATGTCAACAAGTTTTGTTTTAAGATTTGAGGGTATTAAACCGAAGGGCTTACAAGTCAGATGGTTTCTGACTAATGCTCCTATTTGTTCGCTCTTCAACTTGACCTTAACCGCAGTGCGTTGACAAGAATGAGACTGACTATTTACATAAAGAGACTAGATAAGCTATCAAAATTTGCATAAACCTCGTGAAGAAGCCAAAATGAAGGCGTTAAGCCTAACACCTCCTACTTATGACAGATATAAACAGATATAAAGTGAGCCAGAAACAAGTTTAAATTGCCGTCAGACGGCTTTGCTTGGCTATTTAGTTTTCGAATCGTTTAAGGTGTTCAATTACACGACATGGAAAATGCATCTCAAGTTGCTCAATGTCGGAATTCGAATGGGATACCCGATATGATTTACGCTTACGATCAATTGCCCAAGGGTCGCCAAGACTTTTGAGTGACAGACAATTCCTAAACGTTCAATATAAACAAATTGTGATGATGAAATCGCGACCATCGTTTCTATTTTCACCTACTGTTCGCCTTTCCCTGAAATGTCAGTTTTCATTGCCGACTGGGAATGTATTTTCCAGTTCCATTTGTGGTCCAAGTTCAGGCCACAATCGCTGGCCAATTGATCGTTGGCGTTAAGAAGAACCCGTGATTTGCATCTAAATTGTTTTCGTCTTGTCCTCGCCCAACTGCAACCGAATTCTTCGCAAGCCGCCGTGTTTATTTGCATTGGCGTCTTGCCGGTTTGGAAACATGTGAAAAAACATTACTAATATTAAAAAAAAAATTTATTTTGAAAATCTATTTTTAATAACCAAATTTCAGAATATAACATTGGAAATAATGGAATCTTTTTTGACATTTTATTTTAAAGTCCTTGTACCTTCAACTTTTATTTACCTTTAAGTAAAACTAAAATTTTGTTTAGTGCACTTTTGCCGGTTTTGGCCCTGAACGATTACCGACTTGACCAACAACTGGAGGCAAAAAATACTCATGGAAATGACGTCAGCTCGTGGCGCTCTTGTGCATACAATTGAAATCAATTTGCAGTAGCGCCAATTGCAGTTGACATATTTCATCTGAGGCGTTTCATTTCATTTCGAGCAATGAAAACTGTGCTCATGCGGGTATGCAAATTTTATTAGTCAGCGGCAGTGTTTTGCGCATGTGCAGCCATGTTGATAGTTTTCATCGGGGGCAATGTTGCCAGTTTCAAGCATGAGAAAGTCAAGAAGTCATCAAACTTTGGGCTACCTTTTATGGCTAAATACATTCAAGATAGGAAGTCTACTTCGAGCTGTCGTCTTCCGAGTAAAACTTGCCAATTTTCGGACCGAGAACAAGCTTAGTCATTTTTTGCCGATTTTATCTTGGCTAAGACTAACTGCCTGTCAAATCTTAAGCATTTTTCAGCCACATTATTTTGCAGCTTTATCGGCAATAATAAAATTAAATAATTTATTTTAATGGTCAGTCGAGTTAAATGGGGCTAAGTGATTTTCGGTGTAGATTTCAAGCTCGGTCTTGGCATGCAAAATTGTGGTTTTTCCTTTACTTTTTCGAACAAAATTAGTCAAAATGGCCAGCACAAAAGACCAGGGGCAGCTCGTGACTTAGCCACCGATCCCCCGACATTGTGAATTGGAAATGCATCAAAGTAAATGGCGTTGAAGGCGAAAGATGCTATCCGTCATTTCGCAGTCGGTAGTCGGTAGTCTGTAGTCTGTGGCCTGTGCCTCCTGGAAGCCGGCACGTATTTGAAGCCCCAAGATTGGCGTTTAATGGTTAGATAAATTGTCGGGCCTCTGGCACCTGAGCTGCATAAGACTCGGGCCCCGGCAAACGTATGTCATAATGCGGAACAGATTCTTATCTTCCATTGTGTATGCCCCACTGCAGATACAGAGACAGTGGGTGAAGTTAAGTGCAGATTTATGGACCCTATCTTCAGGCAGATCTGAGCAAAGTCTGCCACCCACGCGACTCGTAATTGGATTACTCCAAATTCTCATAATTGGCATCCGTAGGCCGGCTCTAGATTGGCAAAAAAGAATTAACGGAAATGTAAAAAACAATCCCCATGGCAATTAATCAATTTTTATAATAAAAACGGACCTTGGGCTGTGGTGGTGTAGGCTGTTTCGACGATTGGACACCGACAAGCCCTGGGGGATTTTTATTTTGAGGTGTTGCGGGCTTCATTAAACTCAAATTAGCTGCCCCTTTCGTGGCAGCGAATAAATGACAACGATAAATCATGCACCACCAATGCCAGAATTGCGAGTGGATCTGGTGGATCAGAGGGCCTGGATAAGCCCACACATTCAACATTTGAAGAACCCGAATAATCCACTTTCGAATCTATTTCGTGGAAACCTCACTCATAGCACCCATCGTTTGCTCAGATCTCCTGCTAATGTATAGCTATTTTCGAGAATCTTTAAACAAAATTCTGACGGGCAATATAAATAAAATTACTGAAAATACTTTCACTAAAAAGGCGTGACAATGTCAGTGCCAGCGAGTTGAAAACGAGAGCAAAATAATTTGGCGCACAGCCAAATAGCTACCGATTAAATTAGCATCATAAAAAACAAAAGCTCAAAAACAAAACGTCAAGTTCACAACGTGGGTCTATAATTTCAAATGAGAATATGTATTTCCTCAAAAAAGTAAACACAATTTCGTATATGCCCAGGCGTGTGTTATGAGCAAATTATTGGTTATATACGGTGACAGTTTAATTCGCATCAA